AACCACTGCTGCCCGATTTATGTTCATTTTACGCCTTTCCTGTTTGTTACAGCGCTCAAGAAAAGAATCCACATTGTGAAATCTGCAAGGGCAAAGACATTAGCGCATATTCTTGTGCCTGCTTCTCAGTGAATCCACCACCACCACCACCACCACCTACAAAACCTGGCACACCTCCCTTGGATATCTTATTCGACTTTTCCTCCTCTTTCCACACCATAAGACTGGGAAAACAGAAGACTGTCGTAATGAACAAGCTGTGTGCTGAAGGAACCGTTTTTGATCCCTTCACTGAAAAATGCATTCAAGTCAGCGTTCACATTGCTACGAATAATGAAAGTTCCATCAACTGTTCCTTTGTCGAAATGGAACTAAATTCTGTTAGAATTCAAACTAACGGCTCAGTATGGATTCCATTGCACAAACAATCGTACGGTAATGAAAGCTTCTTTATCAATGGGTCATCTCTCTTCCTTTGTATGAACCTCAGCCGTAACTATGTCGTGACAGAAACAGTCGCATCAAGAAAGATCACACCACGACAAGTGTTAACGTACATCGGATGCACCACCTCCATAATCTCCCTACTTTTTCTTCTTGGTACTTACATTGCAATTGCAGAGCTGAGGAATTTGCCAGGGAAGAACCTCATGAATCTTTCCTGTGCAATGTTGTTGTACCATACCATGTTCTTTCTATCTGGTGAGACCGACAAGCCACATTTTTGCATGACGGTGTCCATTCTACTCCATTATTTCCTGTTGTGTTCATTTTTCTGGATGGGAGTTTTGGCATTTGATGTGGCAAAGACGTTTGGAGCCACAGGTAACTTATTTCATGGACTTTAAGATGCATATTTGGTGCTTCTTTTAAACCGAGATGGTAGGCTCTCTTACCAGTGTGATATCAATTAGGAGTTGCACACTAAATACTGTCGAAAATTATATTTTCGTAAAGTAGTAAGAAGGAAACGTGTTGACCTTATTTTGGTCTCGGAGCCTGAAAACACCTTACCAAAAGCAACGGTTAAATCGTAGCTCTTGTTTTCTTGAAGTTAAAGAATTCAAACATGAAATTCATTGTAATGAACATCAGGATACCGGCGCTACAAAAATACGTTTACCTTTATCTTTATCATCATTGACGGTAGGTGAGGAGGACATGGTGAGAACGAAAATCGATATTTTCAATTTTTGACTTGTTTGTGGACAACTTGAGTGCGAACTTTATGGTCTGAGTCTGAATTACATAATTCGCACCTCCTGTTTCTATTAGACCTCCAACCTCCAAACTGCATTTAGCATTTCATCAATTTATTCATTTGTTTAAAGTCCTTTGCAATAAAGGTATAAGGAAGCAAAAAGCGCAGATGTAAATAGAGTAAGACTTTAGAGTCAATAAAATTAGAGATATTGGTTATGAGACTTATCTTGGTCTCTCCGATTGCTTAAACTAACAAATATATCTATTTTCAAAAACAGGGCAACCAGCACATTCTCGTTCTAGTGGTAACACAAATGCGTTAATGGTATACTGCGCATTTGCCTGGATCACTCCTGCTCTTGTTGTGATCACAAGTGTAACTCTGGATAAAACAGACGCATTCAGCATTGGATACGGTACGACGGTACAGTGAAAACAATCTCCCTCAACCCCTGACTGAACTTTTTTTCGAGCCCTGTGGGTAGAATTCCTAGAAATATATCGTAACACCCACTTTTATTTGGCCCTTTATTTATTCCTACAAGCAGTTACTTCGTGGTTTGTCCAAATGAGAACTGGTTATCTGCAATCCATACTAATCTCTGCTATCCTTAATCAGACTTGTTTCCTATCAGCTCCATTCGTTTCTCTTAAATTTTTTTTCCACCCCAGAATACAGTCTTTGTGATTTTTTACTTAATGTAAAGGTCGTTCCCCTTAACTCTCAACATGCACGCCTCAAAATCTCTTTACGTGCATTCTCCAAGATTTCAGCGCTATATTTTTTTAAAGTTCGTTTGGTAATTTAATTCAATGACTACTTGCTGTACACTTGATCAACACACGTGTCTCTCCCATGCATTCTATAGAGCTTCCTGATTTTTCAATTAGGTGACATTTTTTGCTGGATTTCAAATGGCAAAGCACTTCTTCTGGTACTTGGTCTACCCGTGGCAGTCATCATAATTTTCAACATAGCTGCTCTTTCCTACACGATGGCCTCTATTTGGAAAGTTAAGAAGGTAGTTCTCGAAGTTTCTCTTCTATTCATGCAAGACCTGACTCAACATGATTATTTCTCTGTAAAAGTGTTGGTGGCCGTTATTGAGCGGTTCGCGGTTGTCCGAAGTTCTAACGGTTTAGGGAACCATGGTATTTTCAGTTGATCTTGCTCACGTTTTTCTAAGTACTTATTGCTTCATGGACAATGAGCTTATGACATTTATCTTGATCCAATCAAATATCTTAGACTCCCTAAAAGATTACTGGAAAGACAATAAATTTTAAACTAGGTCGTCAATAAGAAAAAAAAGATGCTGTTGGATTTTTGTTTTCACTAGCGTAGGTTAAAGCAAAAACTCTCATGGAAAAAGTCCCAAATGGCAAATGAGTCATAAACCTTCATCCACTTCACCACTGAACTACAGAGAACTTCATGGTGAGATAGGCCATCACTAAATTTATATTTGACAAGCGACGAGCAATGTCGAAAGTTTGTGGGAGCAAATAGGGTAAGAAATTGTGATGCTGCGCCGGTGGGGGGAGGGGTGGTCACAAGATAGTTTTGTTTTGTCAACTGAGTTGATAACGTGAATTGGCCACACTTAAGAGTTTCTCAAGCTGAAGTTTCGAGCGTTAGCTCTTCGTCAGAAAGTTATTCTTTTGCTTGTGAGTCAACTTCTCTTTGGTACCCTGTTTCGTCCTTTGTCCCTAGCTAGTAACAAAGCAAATAACCTTTTCCTTCATGACAGACCACGCGTCACGTAACAAGTAACGAGACCAGTCTTCTTATCCTGTACTTGAAGCTGTCTTCGTCTATTGGCTTCACCTGGATATTGGGTTTTATCGTTCCATTTGCCAAAGTGGAGTTTCTGAATTATTTGTTTGTGATTTTAAACAGTCTTCAAGGTACGTTTTCTATGCAAATGACGGTTAGCAAGTAAAAGGCAGGTCCATGACTTTAATCTGTACCGAAGAATCATTGAAACGGACCAAAACCTTTGGATAAAAAATCAAATATTCCACTCAGGTGCAATCCTGAATATTCTTTTTCCTTTTTGCCAGAAGACATCAATGTCATCTAATCCTTAATATCGAGGGCGCTAATGACTACATCATAGAAGACTCGTTGATTCTACGTTTTGTTACCCCATCATCATACTACTATGATCAATTACACCATAGAAGACTCCTTGATTCTACGTTTTGTTACCACATTATCATGTTACCATGATCAAAAATTCATATGAAATTATTTCACCTTCCTTCTGATCAAGCATTCATCTCCATTAAATCAATGTTTTTAGTTGGAAATTAATGTAAGTGGTTCCACTTATACAGTGATTCATTAACCCCCTGTTATTTATAGGATTCTTCATTTTTCTGGCTTTTGTGGCAAACAAACGGACATATAGCAAGATAAAGGCTTATTGTGTGTCACGATTCAGCCCCACAAACCACACTGATACAAATGAATGCCAGTCCGGGTCGACTCATGTCAGGAAAATCACAACATAGCTTACTCGTGGGATTTATTACTGATGTACAGTATTTTAGATTTAACTCTCACTTGTCTTTTGACAGAATATTCAACATCATGAAATCTCACTCAGCTCAATAAAAATTTGAAACTGATGATATGAAACATGGCTTCAGAAATGTATTGCATAAGTCATATCTCATCACTCGATGTACGAATTTTGCCTTTTAGCCCACCACGTGAACTGCAAATAACTACCAAAAAATAATGGTCTGCTCGTGCGAAATACCTTCCAACGGTTTTTCTTTCTTGAAATGAACTGCTGCTCATGTGAGAGTTCTGTCCACGCACTTCTGGAGAAAATAGCAGATCGATTATCCATGCTTTCAAGCAGTGATTTCCGAATATTGAATAATTATGAAAATACTCGGTAATCCACAGATGACACAGTCACTTGAACAAAGCGTTTGTCGCAAAATGCCTTGATTTGTTATTGTCGTACAGATTGCCTCAGGCTGCGGCTATGAAAAACAATTCTTTGGCTTTTTTTTTCTGATAAATAAGGATATATCTGTATATATATATATGACTGCTGAAGAAGTTACTCTTGTAAACTAGTATTCTAGGCTCTAGCATGCAAGTTGGACCTCTGTCTCAGCTGTGCATATAAATTATACCCCACTACATCAGCTCGTTGTCAAAGTGTTAAATAACGGTCGACTGAAAATGGAAGGAGAAAGGAGGAGGAAGGAAAGAAAATAACAAAATACTATGGCGAATATTATTTATAATTTATTTTGTTTTGTCATTTTTGCATAAAGAGCCCAATCAGAATAATCATAAATAAAATTATAAAATAATTCAAATAGTGCGGGCGCTTTGATTGGCCATAAAACCATTTTACATGAGCGTATGTAAACACGGTTTTCGTTCCTCTTTCATTAGTTATTTTATGAAAAGAAATGTAAAATGGTTTGCGTGTTTGCATAGCCTGATGTAAACACGCGGGAGGTTGGGAGAAACGAGATAAGCGTAGGAAACCACGACGCGAAGCTGATTTTACATTTCTTCAATCAAGAATCAATGAAAATTTGTCGGACCTCTAGCAGTACTCATTACCTACGTCGGAAGCGCGTGCATTACTTCAAGAATTCCTGTGATTGCGTCATCAGGGCATAATTGTTAATTTAGAGATAATCAGAGCTTCATTCACCAATTTAGTTTTTAAGTGACGCAGGAGAGCGCTTTTGGCTCGGGTTCAATGCTTTACTTAGACAATGAAAGCAGATGGACTGTCACTGCCGATCAGAGTTAGATCATGCTGAGTTCTTGTAGTCGTGAAGTACCACCTAACCAAATGATGAACCTTTTAACTAAGAAGCAATCTGGGCACAAGACGCTTAAAGAGCGCTTGAAATCCAAAAATAAAACTATCCAGGTAAGTTTGCAGTTTTCCACTGAGCATTTTCTTTGAGGGGAAATTATTTAAGCACCTAAAAAGGGTCTAGTTCAAAAAATATATGGGTCATTCCATGCTATATTTCAATTGCGGTTGGGCCGCTTCAATTTTGGTGCGAGTCATACAACGGAACTCTGATTTTTCCTGATGAAAATCACCAGACTCGTTCGTCATTCGCCATATCAAGATTAGCCTAAGACTGATGTTGTTGATTGAAGAGCAAATAGACGCACACGCAGACAACAAGTAATATAAATTAGATATTCCAACAATTCATTGGGCTTAGACGCCGAGAATTTCAAGCTCATTCTGAATTTAGAGCGAGTAAGTTTGTCTACTAGGGATGGGTTTCCGAAAAAACCAAAGCCATGAATCTTTGAAGTAATATAATTTCACCCGAATAACGACGCACAATTTTCAATAAAAATAAAAAGGCAACCTTAATGTAAAACGATGCTACCAAAATATCAGTACCCTTCGTGTTAGTTTCTCTGACAGGAAACTTACGCATCGCGAAAAAAAAAAAACACTGGTTTTCTCCCACGCAGAACTTTTCCCTCGCGCGCACCAGTCAACTACTAAGCTTTTCGTTTTTAAGTTTCAAGCATTCAATTGTAAAAAATGACGAGGGAAGACTTCTTATGACTTGAAAATCATGCGGCATGTATAGCAATCACTCAAGGCTCGAAATCGAACTCGACTTTAAACGGGGATCTGAGTGCATGATTCCTTACACAACTAAATTTGGTTTTGGTCTACCATTCCTCAACATACATTACGATTTTAGCGCCTGAGAAACAGAGTTGCCTGGCTAGAGTTGCAGTTAACATTGCACTACACAGAGGATAAAACTACTAAGGACGATCGTGAAGAAATCGTAGTTGAAGATGATTGCCTAAAATGTGAACAACTGAGGAAAATGCTGAACAAATCTTTGAAACTGCCTCCGGTATGTTCTGTTATTGTTGTTGTTGATTCTGATTTTTGGGGAATTTAAAAATCTTTATTTACAAAGGCACGAAAAGTAAAGTATTACTTCTTCTGTGTAATGGATAGTTTTGATAAGTCTTGAAATACGAGTAAGTGAAGAAATGACTTTACCTGATGATCAATAGCATTGACTAATAAATAAATTATGAAATATTATAGTAAAATTCCACAGTCACTCTTTGCTAATTTCGTAATTACATTTATCAATATTTTTGACCATTAACTAGAGCAATTTTTTTTGCCAGCTTCCAGGGCTACAAAATCTAGACGAAAACCAATTTGATAGCCGAACTGAGACAAATTCTGTTATCAGCGATAAGGAAACAGTAGTGAGCATTGATGAAGATGATTTTAAACTCACTATTCAACCGTCCCACAATTCTCTATCAAGTGATCAAAAAGGAAATGTTGAAAACCTTCCTCATGATGATGACGGCTTCTTTAGAGGGGATCTTGCCGGTAACACCTGTTGCATTTTAGTAGTGGTGATGGCGATGTTACTTGTTTCTTGGATCTGAGAAGGAGAAGTGAAACTCTGGTCTTTACTCATCTTTCGTCACGCTATTTGTGTTTGATTGGGTTCTGCTAAGAAGCCTCTGACAGTATAGATCTAAATCGCGTATAACCTCCAAAAGTAGACCTATGAAGCTATGTAATTTTTATAAATAATTATCTTTAAATCCTTCCTTCAGACAAAGGTTGTCACTCCAAACACCATAGAAGCTTCTTGCTGGCTGCAGTTGTAATTTGAATGTATGGAAGCATACTGTTTTCATCCAAATTGGTGAAGAGCCCAGTAAAAACATAACATGTTCGCAGGAATCTGTTGTTCCTTGTGTGAGTTCTCCAGATGTAACTAAAACCAAATTTTAACGCCGGAATTGAACGTTTTACACGTTAGGGTCAATAGAATTTAGTGATCAAAAATGAAATTTTTTTCATGAGTAGCACTGTCGTCGATGTCATTGGTGTTTTTGGTGGTTTTTGGGAAATAACCAATTCATCATGGTTAGCTAAGGCATAATAACTGGCTTCCAAATTTTCAGACTGCTCAACGAACTTAACAATGAATTGTTGAAAAAATTAGGCATTCACTAGAAAGTGATCCTTTTTCCCCCCTAGCCGACAATGGCTGAGTCACAATGCAAAGCCTCAGCCTGGTTTTGTGCTCAGAAGATGCCGCTGAAGACAGGCTAAAACTCAGTCACAATTTTGTGTCTAAAGTGTCGTTGTTTTCTTGTCCACTTTCATGATGATTATTTCTTAGGCCTCTCAGCAGGGCTATGATCCTTTTCTTTGCAACAAACGTCAGGAATATAAAAAAACCCTGTGTAGAAGCAAAGTAACTCATTATGGTGAGATTGATTTGATTTGCGATCGTTTAAACCTACCACTTTTGGTCAAAGAGAGTAACGAGGTCCGAAAATGCGATTCATCTGAGATGTAATCCCAACCCCAGACTCGCATTAACCCCGCTCTCTCCACTGACAGTTTCCTGCAGCTGCAATAACACTTGGAGGCCTTCCTTTACAAATTAGAAAAAAAGGTGTCCGTAAAATTTGACAAGGCAATTATTTCAATTAAACCGTTCACAGTTTCCTCGGCCAGTATCTATCACCGAAACAGAAATGTCTCTTGAAAAATGCTCTTCTTTTGGAACAAAAGGAATTTTCTAGGGACGAAAAACTTTTGATTTTTGACTTTTGACTCAATTTCATGTAAAAGAGAAACGTCTCTGCCAAAAAAAAAACTCAAAACTGAAAACTGATAATGTCAACTTGGCTTATCACAGCCCGAAAAAGAAGGCAATACTTGCATGTACATGTAAGTATTATAATTTCCATGTGTTTTGTAATTGTTTATTCGTATATCAAGAATGCAAGCTGATTTTCTCACGGATGCCATCATTCAAGAGAGTGTGACAGACCAAAAGGCTTGTGCGATCATTTGCCGGAAGGAAAGTCTAATTCACTGCTGCGTGTCAACCTACCTTGCAAGCTGTTAACGATAACAAAAAGATATATGGTTGCCTCTGCTTTGACGATGGAGTTCAGAAAACCGAGGATCCAAGTTAGACCAAAGACACAGGTCAGTTTGATACACAGAAGAGCAAGATTCGAATGACCCCTCTGATTTGTCAGTTGGCTTGTAACCTAACATATCAAAATATTCAGTTATTGTCGTGGAGATATATATTTCAATTGACTTTTACCTTAACAGTATAGGCAAAGCGAGACAGACCGAACAGTATTTCTCGGAGGTCATCCCAGCGTCATAAACTATTACCAAAAATGAACTGAATCGATTTGTTTAATAAAACAGTTCACCTTTCGCACTTTGTAGATAGCAAACGCTGTCCAAGTCAGTGCTACGAAATTAGAGAAGATAAAAAATGCAATAGGTACACCCACAGCAAATAAGAGGGCAGTGCCGTTTTCCATCCAACAGAATCCTCCTCGTCCTGAAAAAGACACGAAAAGATATTTGAATTTGCGCTCACACATTACCTTTCCTTACATTCGTGCAATTCAAACAGTGCCTTGAGATGAAATTATGTATGATTGAGAGTCCGGAAGTTATGCCCTCAACAATATAAAAATATCTCGCAAAATGAAATGAACTTTCTTTTAACTTTTACCATCAATTTATTTTTGTGCACCGTATTTATTCCAACAATCACATTTTCGCGCCTCAAGTGTATTGCTTATTTAGGGGCAGCGTTCATTCAAAAATTAGACACGACGACGAAGGTTAGGTAAAGAGGTTAGGCTTGTTCTACGTCTGAATCTGTGCATCTGAAAGGATTTGCACCTGGTTCTCTTAGGATGTTAAACTGCATAAAAAGCGTTGGAGCTTGTGAAAGAGTCCTTCGAAAAGGCACCGCACCAGGGGGCCGCGGGGCTCATTAACTTTTCTGTCGAAAAAGCGCCGCTTATTCGAGGGAGGTGCTTTTTCGGGCTCGGCACTTGAGTGAATGTATTTATTTGAAATTTACAGCCCCTTTGTATGTTATTCCATTCATTAAAAGAGTCTTTCTAAAACTTAGCATGATCCATAATATCATTGTGAACATTCTTAGCTTCTGATTACGGAGCTTTTCCTCATTGACATATCTTGGTCAGTCTCAGCGAAACGGAGTTTTACCTTCTGAGTAACTGTACTATGTTCAAATAAAATGTTGTGTACATATCTCCGACGATTTTTGTGAGTCTGCACTCCCCTTCCCTCACGAAAAAACCTTAATCTAAACACTTGCCATAACCAATGTAAATGGTTTCAGTGTGGTCCAATAGAAAACAAATTCCAACAGCAGTAGCTGGGAAACCCCAGGCGCACAAGCTATATTTTTGGAAAGTCTTTCTCTGTTTCTTTTCTTGTTCTGAACGGAGGTCAGTATCTACAAAGAAAAGACAAAAAGTTTAGGAATTCAGTAAATTTTGCAGGTCTAGAGTCTGAAAACACAAACAACCGTTGTGGCGAAATGACTTCTCGGTGAAGAAGTCTATGGGCGAAATGACAGCATCGTTGGGTGTTACTTATTTCCGAAAAACTGAATGAATGATGAAAGTGTCTTACCATGAAAAACGAATGTTTTAGTCACGTCAAACGCCATGACACTCATCCACGCAAATGAGCACATCAAAAAATAATGAAGAAAGACTGCGATTCCTGTACAGACCTCTTGGATAGTTTTTAACCCCGCCACAAACAGGAACATGTGATAACATATCATGGAAAGAGACAGGTTGACCAGGTTTTTGCCAGGGAGAGTCCTTAATTCCTTGAATGTACAGTAGATTACCAGCAAAATGAGGAGCGAAAAAACTGAAAGAGAACATCCGGCGTAGGTGAGAATATGCAATGTAGTTACATCAACAGCATAAGACCACTTTGTAATTATTTCATTTTTTGAATAATTACTTTTAAAGTCGGTACATAAGAATATGATGGAGCCGTTCGCGAAATACTCCGTGCGGTTGTAATTTGTTGAGTACAAGGGCACCCACAGAGTTCCGTTTGAATACAAAACAGTATCTGAAAGATTAAGCCGGATTCCGGAGTAGTTCAGCTTTATCAAGTTACTAGAGTGTTTCTCATTCCCAATAACGCCTTGAAATGCCTCGCGACATTTGTCAACAAAAGGATCGTAAACGAATCCCTCCTGACAAGTTTTAAGATTCACAAGCTTGGTCTCGGTCTTTGTTCCATGTATACTCATTTGGTTCGAATCAGAAGAAAAATCAAACAGGATACTCAATGGAGGAGGCGGTGGCTGAGGTGTAAACTCTGGTGACTTTGTTGAAGGCTTCCCAGTCATTGTGAGCTCCGTCGTGAATCCACGGTTCGTAAAATGAGTTGTTAGAGGTATTGTTCCTGGGGGCCTGGACTGCGGCAGTGTAGGAAATATCGGCAAATGATAAGGTGGGTCTGCCGCTACAGAAGAATTGTATTGTATTGTATTATAATGTGGAATTGCTGATCCCCCTTTTGTGGTATGTATTGGAGGCTTACTTGTTGCGGTGCTCAGGCATCCACAATTGAACTGCGTTATGTCTTCTCCATTACATAGTGCGCAATGAGGATTTTTATGATGTGGGCTACCACAAACTGGGAAAGAGTAGTATGAACACAAGCTTTTTAAAACTAGTTCGTTGTCAATAACTTGCCTTGCACAGCATGTGCTGTTGGCGAAAACGCAGTGTTTAAGGTTTATTTGCTGTCCCGCTGTAGGTCTGTACCTAACGGTACAGTTTTCTCTGATAAAATCCAATAGTAGCGTGTTATCTTGGGGAAGAGCCGATGCGGGAATCCTTCCACAGTCTGCATTCATTTGCCAGTAGGATACACCTTGGACCGAATTGCATCTGGCGCAAAACACGTTTCTATAAACCAAACCTGATTTGTCGTCTACGACAGGCATACCACTCAGAAAGTCTTTGTTGTCTACTGTCTCACACAATCTTTGGATTTCAGATTCACTATTACCAGGTGGACATTTTGTATTCATTACGTATCCATGGTTACTCGAACTATTCATATTGACACAGTGCCAGTGCTTATGTTCATCGCCTCGACGGGCTAGCACTTGTGGACAGCTGGGGAATAAAAAAAATCAATCGATGTTGTGTCCACAAAATGGTTTTTCCAGGAGTCTACTTTAAAAACAAAAGTGATTATTGCAAGCCATAAACCCAATTGGCTTTGCATCCTTGCACTTTTACAGTGAAATATTACTAAATGAGATGAAATTATGAATTACCTTTTCTTTTGTAGGCTCGTGTGCCGAGATCAGTCACATCATTGCAAGTACGCGATTTTTAAATTTAAATTTACGGTGCTTTCAGCTATCACCCGTTTCAATAAATTGTCCCATAAATGTGTCTACGGCAGTAAAAAGGATCCACAGCTCCCTTATTCAGCGGTAGATTTGAGATTTCTCTCTTATTTCTCATTTGCTCTTTTCTTCCATTTGACGTTTTGGTCTACGTTGATTTTTTGGTTTTCTCGGCGTTACTTTTGCACTAACTCAACTTAGCTCTGCCTTGCTAAGAGAAAAAAAAACAGTTTGATTTCATTTCCGAGATTATAAACCTGTTTGGCTTGCCGTCTTTATGATGAGTAGCAAGTTTACTTACAAAGATAATAAATCATAGCAACAGTCTCCAACATCCAGGCAAAGACTATCGCAATAACACGATAAATTATTCTTGCGCTCTGCAATTCCATCTAACACTCCATAAGTACATCGAGTCCTGCATGACAGCTCATCGTTTGGACAAAGTGCGCTAAACCGAAAATCACCAGTAACATTCAATCTTCTTAGAATCGCTGCGGTACTTATATTGGTTCCATTGTAAGCAAGTACAAGATCATCACCTGCATTGCACAATTAAGACAAAAATGAGTAACAGCTTTTCGCCAGAAGGAACAAAGCTTTCAAAACAGATATTTATTTTTGGCGAAATTGCGACTTAACTCTTCGATGCCTCGTGCTTATTCTGCAAATGTTAAATAAAGAATTGTCTTTCTATCATCACCTCCGTGATTCATAAGTAAAATACCATTTAAAGGAGACTACCGGTAGTGAAGAATTCCAAATATTAAGATCTAAGTTTCCCTTGAAATAAAATGCTTATCACGGACGTTGCTCAACTGCGTTTTACAATTTCAGCCCTCGAAATTCACCCGTTTGTAACGAGTATTTTAAAATATTCTAAAATACAGCTTAGAGGTAACATTCTCTTGTTCTTTCCTCTTATTCACCTAATGCCTTTTTATTTTCGCTTGATTCGTTGGGTTATGTACTTCAAGCTATTTTTCCCAGACTAAATTCTCTCTTTAAAGATTGGCTGATTGAACAAAAGTTAGCAACTTTTTCTTACCAGTAAAACCTACTGTCCACCATAACGTTGCAAACGAACAAATAACCGCGAAAAAGGTGGCATCATCATGCGTCTGGTATCCAAGCATCTTTCAGTTACCTGTGCGAGATACAGTATCAATTTATGCACATAATTTGATTTGACGAAAATCGCTTCAAATGAATAAAAGTCTTTTGAATTTTAGTCTCTGAGCCTAAAACATCGTATATCAAGTTCCTCCACTTTAAAAGTACTTTTAAAGCTGCCGTTGTGCATGCATAAAATTGTAAATTCCGTTTGTTCTTTTCTGATACCAAATTTTGCAAGAGACATTAACACCTGAACAATTTCTATCGATAATCGATGATAATGGAAATCTTAAATAATTGCATAGTGGAGGCAAATGTCATTGACGATCATTTTTTGACACTTAAATGAATGTAGATCCCTGTTAATGTAACAAACCTAAAAAAAAAAACCAAGATGGGTCAAGATCATAAAGCACTCAGAGCAAAGAACATCAATGAACGATCGTCGCCCAAAGCTTAATCCATGGAAAATTCTAAGTATGCCTTAAAGCTGTTAAAACTCATTATTTGGCGGATTGTTTGAATTAAAAACGCTTGTTATTGACGTTAACAAATTGGTCAGTTGAGAAAAAGATAATTGAAAATATGAGGATGGACGTATTTTTTCAAGTAGCAAAAAGTAATTATTCACCAAACGCAGAGTGGGGTATTGTCTCATTGTTCAACGAAATACAGGCCATAAATATTTTATCGTGGAATGTACCCGTTCCACTAAAGTCAAATTTTTTATCCCTAGTAATCATATCCGTTTCCAGTCGAAACAATCACTAGTCGTGGGAAATTACCATTGAACACAACTGTAAGAAGAAAATTACGGCGAGTTTGATTCTTGAAATAATTGGGCAGCTAATTTTTACTGTTAACTGAGTTGTTTTCCAGTGCTTAAAAGATACATTACGAGCTGTAAAATAATGAGTGGATATTTACGAAAGAAATGTCATTGGGGGTCGAGGCTATTATGATTAATACATGTAGTTCTTAAACTGACCCACTCAAACGATAAATCTGGTCAGTTTAGGCGTAAAGTAGATTGTGAATCTAAAATACGAGCTCAAATGAAAATTAGGCATGCTGGATAGGAGCCCAGCCTTTCCCTTATGTGGATAAGTCATTGCGTCGTTTGCTTATCGAAGGAAATTTTTCTCTATTTAGCACTCACCAACGACGTTAGAAATTACACACTGCAGAAAAAAAAATCAAGCTTGAAGCCTGACCAAATCTCGCGTCTATCGTAAAAAAAACCGGACGATGTTTTGTCAAAGGTTTTGCTACAAGAAACGATGACCTGCCTCAAAATTTCCTCCCCTTTCAATTAGGCGACAGGTTGATTGATCAAATTTTCTTTTGTATTAATATTGATAAGCTGTGCAAAAAATTTTTTTTGCTGTTTACATAACATATATGAATCTTCGAAACATAAGACACTTTTGCAATTGAGACATGAATCCTGCTCACGCCGATTTGCTTGCATGAATAAGGGACCCGTGCAGACTATGATATAAAAAAAAATAATTAACAATAATCCACCGAGCTGGAGGTGAATAGAACTTGCTATTCATTTCCAAACTTTCCAATCAGAGTGCGCGAAAAGCACTTTCCACTTGTGTGGCACTGACTAATAATATATATGCAAAACGTTTTTTCTAGGTATTTTTGTTATCATTTATAGTCAATAATTAACGGGTTTTGGCATGAAGATAAGATAGAGAGATATAGAAAAGAAACGAAAAGAAAATGAGATATTCGATCATGACTTCCAATTGTCCAGGTGAGGGTAGCACTAAAAAAGACTATGGGTCACAGTGACTTGTGTTTCAAAATCCCAAGCGTTATCATTCAAAATCATTTAGGTTCATTATTTGTCATTCTTATGCTTAGTTATTTGAAATTGGCCAACTCTCAAACAAAATGGGAAAATAATAAGAAAAGGAAAAATGATGTTGAAACATTGGCAAATGCTTATTCATTCCAAGTTGCATGAAAAATCATTTCGTTACAAATGTTAATTCACGTAAAACTCCAGCTTTCTGCACAATTGGAATTGATTAACTTGCACTCGACCCATGAACAAGCTGAAGTTTTTGTATTTATTCAAAGCCTTTTTCATTTACTTATCTTTTCGTTTATTTCATGTTACCTTATAGAAATGAAATGAAATTACGATTACTGATAATACATAGATTTTGCAAAGCCTTAAAGCGGAGCTCCATTTAGTTCATTTTCCAGCCCTTCACCCTAACAAAACTCCTCATTACTGGCACTCGAAGAATTTGTTTAAGGGGATTTTGGAACCGGTCCAGGAGGTGGG